TCCTTCCTTCCTTCCTTCCTTCCTTCCTTCCTTCCTTCCTTCCTTCCTTCCTTCCTTCCTTCCTTCCTTCCTTCCTTCTGCAAAATACAGGACAATAAGAATTTTTAAAAAATGTTTTCTGAGATTGATTCAAAATATTTTGGGAAAATAAATAGTATTCTAATTAGAAGAATGGGTATTTGGCAATGTATTAAGGACCTAGTTGACAATTCCACTGTAAGAATTTTTTTCTTTAAAAAAGTTCATTTGCATGTCATACATGTGTCTAGCTTGCACCCAGTGATTCTATGCAATTGTTATTTGTCATCAAATGGATGTTTCCTAATTTTAAAGCACTTACTGTTAATAACAAGGTTTTCCATTGATACAGAAATTAAATAATTTAAAATAAAAATGAGCCATGGTCTTTACTGAAATCCAGGTCATTGCTAACTATAGCTTTGTAACAATAAACTTACAGAGAAGGTGGTTTAATTGCAAAACCATATTCATAATATTGACACTTTTCTGCATTGGAAACTTAGGTTATAGCACTTACCTTCTTCATTGCGCATATCCAACTTCACAACATTTTCATATATTTTTTTATTGCATTGCAAATCCAAGTTGAGACTAATCACACCTTCTTTATTCTGCATGATGTTAATGGTATCAGAGTTGTGTTTCATTACTGACAGTGATAATAGAATTGATATAATCCTTCCTGCAAATCCAGGTAAATGGTGTTATTCTTTTTTTCTTTCTTTTTTTTTCCGCAGAGCTAGCTTAGGGAATGCAAACTCATTCAAGCTGCAAATGCCAAAACCATTATGCTAATTTCCTCCGCACAGAAATTATTTACATTTTATTTTATGCCTCATCAGAAGCAAGGCAAATCAAATGTACCTTCATTATTTGTACCTTTCATTCTAACCCCTTTCTGTCCCTTACAGCTTGCATTTAACACCCAGTGGGTGCATTATATTTCACCATCTGTTCTACCTAAGGTTGAGATATGGGGTATTTGAAAAGTTAATGTCCAGTCCTCCCTTCAACAGAGAGCTAGTTTGGCTGGTTGGTTGATAAATTTGTTGGTCAGTTTTCTTGGCATATTGTCTTTCTAAAAATAAGAGACCGCTCTCAAATGAAAAACTGATGTTTGGGTCCCCTTTATCTGCAGTATACAATTTAGGGTTCTTGTTAAGTTTGAGCAATGAGAGGCTGAACCAGAGCATGAGTGCAACAATACTTTATTTGATAATAAAGGGCTGACCGTGCTTGCCACGCCTGGAACTGGCTCGCAGCAATCAGCAACTGGTTAGACCCCGCAGCCTGCTTTTATAGCAGGCTGCTGGAGAGGATCAACCAATGAGGAAAAGGGGAAGAACGCCCACACAAAAGTGAGTGGACCTGAGTGAGAACTCCTAGAGTCCTCAGGACATAACACCCCTTCCCCCCAGATGCGAACATGCATAGTCCTTGAGGTAGACGGGGGGCTTGTGTTGGCGCCCGGAACGGCGCAGCACGGGAGCATTGTCTGTCCGCTCCGAATCAGTCTGTGACGGTTGAGCCGACAGCGTGTCGCCAACGAGTTCTCCGGATTGGGCACCCTCGGGACTCTCAGGGCTGGATACGGGGATCGAGTTCTCGTGGGTTGGATCAGGCTGGTCAACTCTCGGGGTGCTGCTGTCCGAGTTTGGGCTGACCGGAAACGGCTGTTGGTACGGACTGGACGTTGGGTGCGATGAGGCTGAGAGGCGGCTGAGGCGGTTCCCCTTCCTCTGGTGATTCTGGATTTCTGTTGGCAAGGGTGCTGTGGCGCTTCTGTAGTTGGTCTATGTGCCTCCTCCAGACGCGACCATCCTCCAGCCTGACCCTATACGATCTCGGCCCGGTGATGGCGATGACCTCGCCTGGCATCCATAGTGGGTCCCCCGCGAAATTCCTCGCGAATACCGGCTCCTGTAACATAAAATGTCTAACCCCCGAAGTGGAAGCGAGGGGAGAGTCAGGGCAGTAATTGGGGTGAAGTCTGTCCAATACAGTCCTCAGGCGCCGACCCATCAGGAGCTCCGCTGGGGACTTATTGGTGACTGAGCAGGGGGTTGAGTGCTGGCTCATCAGGAACCGTGAGAGTTTGTGATGCCAGTCATCCCTGCTGAACCTGGCGAGGGCTTCTTTGGTGGTCCTGACGGCTCTTTCCGCCAACCCATTACTGGCAGGGTGAAATGGGGCTGTGAAAATGTGGCGGATGCCCAGGTTGGCAGCAAAACGGCTGAACTCTATTGATGCGAACTGTGGGCCATTATCGGAGACGATGGAGTCGGGTAGCCCGTGCGTAATGAACAGGCGCGTTAACGCGTTGGTGATTGCTAGTGTGGTGGTCGTGGATAGCTGTGCTACATCAATCCATTTGGAATAAGCGTCCACGACCACTAGGAACATCTTCCCATGCAAGGGGCCGGCCAGATCGATATGGATTCTAGACCAAGGGCCGCTGGCGCTCTCCCATCTGGTAGGGGTGGCAATGGGGGGAGCAGGACGGGATTCCTGACAGATGTTGCAGGAACTTACCCAATTGACAATGTCCTCGTCTAGACCCGGCCACCACACGTAGCTGCGTGCTAATGCTTTCATTCTCACGATGCCAGGGTGTCCATCGTGCAACGCCTCCAGGACTCGGGTACGCAGCGAGGTCGGAATGACCACTCGAGTGCCCCATAGTAGACAACCCTGCAGACTGGACAGTTCCTGCATGCGAGTCTTAAATGGAGTTAATTTGTTATCAACGATGCCACCCGGCCACCCCCTCCTCACCCAGTCGAGCACCTGGGCGAGCGTTTGGTCTGCCTTGGTTTTGGCGGCGATGTCAAGGGCGGTGATGGGTAGGTCCAACTGGGTGATCTCGAAAATGGCGTTGACAGGAGCGGGGTCTTCAGCCGGAGCGGGTAAGGGGCAGCGACTGAGACCGTCGGCGTGGGACAGTGTTTTGCCCGGGCGGTGAATAAGTTTGTAGGAGTAGGCCGCTAGGAAAAGTGTCCACCTAGTCATTCTAGGGGAAAGGACCTGAGGGGTCTGTTTGTCCCCGGCCAGTAGGCCCAGGAGGGGCTTATGGTCCGTAACTAGTTCGAAAAAATGGCCAAAAAGGAATTCGTGAAACTTTTTCACGGCCGCAACAGCTGCTAGGGCTTCCTTGTCGATCTGGCTGTAATTGCGTTCTGTGGCCGAGAGCGTCCTTGAGAAAAAGGCGATGGGGGCCTCTGCGCCGTTGGGCAGTCTGTGACTCAGGACCGCCCCAATCCCAAAAGGTGATGCGTCTGCTGCCAGTACTAAAGGAAGGTTAGGGTCGAATTGGATAAGCACCGCCTCTGACGTGAGTAGTGATTTGACGGCGTTAAACGCCTGGTCTTCTTTGTGCCCCCAGTGCCACGGTGACTGTTTGTCCAATAATCTATGAAGGGGTTCGGCCACTGAGGCTTTGTGGGGCAAGAAGGATGCGTAAAAGTTCAGCAGCCCCAAGAAAGCTTGCAGCTCCGTTTTGGAGGTTGGAGTGGGAGCCTTGTGGATTGCCCTGACCTTGGACTCCAGGGGGTGAATGCCAGAGGCGTCAATTTTATAACCCAGAAAGTCCACCTGTCTAGTGGCAATGGCGCATTTTTCTTTTTTTAACTTGAGGCCATGCTGTCTGAACCTCTCTAGCACTGCTCGCACTCTCTGGAAGAGTTGGGGTCTGTCCCTGGCCGAGACCAAGATGTCGTCGAAGTAGGGTACTACACCAGGGAGGCCCTGTAAAATCCGCTCCATGAGGGACTGAAAAATCCCTGGGGCAACACTTACGCCAAATTGGAGACGCTTGCATCGGAAGGCACCCCTGTGAGTGACGATGGTCTGGAGTTCCGCTGTTTGGTTATCAACAGGGAACTGCTGATACGCTTGGGACATGTCCAATTTAGCGAAAATACTGCCCGGCTCGAATGTGTGCAATAAGTGCTGAATGACGGGCACTGGATAGGCGCTAACTTGTAAATATTTATTGATTGTTGTCTTGTAGTCCGAGCAAATTCTCAGGCTACCATCTTTTTTGAGGGGTGTGACAATGGGCGTCTCCCACTTGGCGAAATCTGTTGGCTCAATGACCCCTTGTTTTAATAGTTTATCCAATTCAGCGTCTAGTTTTGGTCGAATAGCAAATGGAACTCTACGCGGTTTTAGTCTGATTGGGACTGCCTGGGGGTCGACTGTGAATGAGATGGGGGTTCTGTTATAACACCCCAGCTCTTCGCTGAACACGTCTGCGAAATCAGCGAATAAGGAGTCAGTGTCTAAGGTTGAGACAGCATGGACTCCTGTTAGCCCTAGGCCGAGGTGGGGAAACCAATCGAGCCCCAATAAGGTGGGTAAATTGCCGTTAACTACCACTAGAGGTAGGTGACCTTTAAAAGTTCTAAAACTGACAAAGAACTTGCCTCTGCCGATCACAGGAATGGTCTTCCCCTGGTAGTCCTTCAGGCCGAACTCGCATCTTTGAAGCCGGGTGGTAGATAGGCTGGGGTGGAGTCTCTTGAGGGTGTTCCACGAAATTATTGAGAGCGCTGACCCTGTGTCAACCTCCATGTGGCAAGGTTTACCTTCTAGGGAAACGGAGAGAGAAATTTTACTAACAGTGTGGCAAGTATGCTTGGCAAGGCGGTGCGTGCGACAGTTTAATACTTGCCTCTGAGGTCCCGAGTGCGAGGGAGGGAGTCTGTGTGTAGCGCTTTGGGGGGTTTGGCAAACTCTCGCGATGTGCCCCCTTTTATGGCAGTTGTTACAGGTGGCTCCTTTAAACTTGCAGGTGGCCCTATGGTGCGATCCCCCACAGGCTAGGCACAGCGTGATGTGCTTGGGTGAACC